TGGTACAAAGCTCCCACAGTTTTTCCATCACTAAATTGAGGAGGGTTGACATAGAGACCTTAAGCCATGATCATCAGATCTTTAGTCATTCATCTCTTCAGACTAAGTCTTAACCAAAAGCCCCAAACTAATAATGCCCAGACCCTTCAGTAACTGAACCTAAGTAAAGCCCCCAAATATGGACATGCACAAGCATTCCTGCTTTACCCAGCCCATAGGCTCTTCACTTGGGATCCACATAGATTCAGGCTCACAAGACCTTGAGCCTCTGAAGACTCCACTGGGGGCTGTCAAAGGCTGAACCTGGATACCAAACTACTTCCAATTTGGTGCTCTCTGCCCAAGTACTTCCTTAACTGTTGCTATGGACACCAAAGGGCCAAGAGAAGTATGTGGCCAGAGCTCTGGATCATTTCTAGAAGTTCTAGTTCTGGCCTTGCACAGGATCTAAAACTTCCTAGAGCATTTCCCAAAGTTTCTGATGGGAGTGCTTATAATGGTTGCTATGACTCTGCCAGGTAAGACGGAACAGATCTCTCTTATATACTCCCCAGTGCCTTCCTCTCTGCAAGAAATAGTCACAAATGCAGAGTTACTACTCATGTTTTTAGAAATGGAAACCTATCCATGTCCAACTTAGCATGGGATGCACTGTATCCATCAGTTTGGACAGAACAGAAAGTTGACCATGTCATTGAGCTGTTAGACAGGGACACCTAGGCTGCATGCAGACAGAAGACCCTAGAGAGCTTCTGGCTAGATCTTATGTTGAATTCACTTGAGGTTTGTTTTGGCAAAACCTACAGTCCAGTCTTCCTCCTGGGTTTTTCCTTTACTTTCACACTCACAACACTCCTGGTCACCAAAAGGAGGCGGGGAGTTCCCCACACCACAAATTCTCCACATCACCTAAGTGTTCTACAATTTGGCTCAATTCTCACACAATAGTGTCATATGTCACAACTTAAGGTTGCAGTGCTACAATCAGCTTCCACCCCACTTCAGATGCCAATTAAATGTGGTAAATCTCCAGGTTACCCACAACTTCTTATTTGGCTTAAAATGGAGTTTCCCACAATGCCTCCTTTGGTTCAATTAGAGTGGCTCACATCACAGAACTTAGGAAAAACACAGTGCTTATATTTAGCACTTTACTAAAGGATACCATAAAGGTTACAGATGAACGGCTAGATGAAGAGATACTAACATGATGTCTGAGAATGTCCAGAGTTCCTGTCCCCATGAAGTTAGGATGCATCATTCAACCAATACTTGGATATGTTCACCAACCTTGAAGCTCTCTAGACCCTCTCTCTCATACTGGGATCTTTATGAAGGCTTCCTCAAGTAGCCATGATTGATCATGAACTCTTTCCAGCCCATTGCCCAGCTCTAGATGTGTGGGATGGAGCTGAACATTCCAACCAGAGTAGACTTGACAGAACATAAATACTCCTAGTACTGTTATCACTTAAGAGTTTGTAAGTTTCAGGAGCTCTGTGCCAGCAACTGGGGGCACAGACCAGTAGGTGTGCATTTTCTTTGTCTCACAAGGTCAAATAACCAGTCTCAAAAGGGCACATGCTAATTGATTCCATCTTCTTAATATTCTATTAATGGCAAAATTAGATACTGAGACAGCTGTGGTGCCAAGGACTAGGGTCAGGGAAAGAATGTGACTATGAAGTGGTAACATGAGGGAGTTTGTGATAACAAAAAATTCTGCATTTGCTACTGTGGTGTTGGTAACAAAACCTACATAAGTGATATAGTTTCTTAAAACTATATTTAAAAACCAAACAAAAACAAGTGCATGTTAAAACTAGAGATACAAATAAATCTTGTAGTTAACAGCACTGTAACAATTTCACTTTCCTTTCTTTAGTAATGAACTGACTATGGCAGGGGTGTCCAGCCTGTAGCCCATAGGATGCATAGCCATAGCTCAGGATGGCTATGAATGTGGCCCAACACAAACTCGTAAATTTAGTTAAAACATGATATTTTTTGTGATTACATGTTGCAATGTATTTAATGTGTGGCCCAAGATAACTCTTCTTCCAGTGTGGCCCAGAGATGCCAAAAGGTTGGATACCCCTAAAAGGGATTACCTTTGGGAGTAAGCTATCTTAAGGGTATTTATGAAATCTCTAGAAAATTTCAGTTTTTGTGACTCTAAACTTGTTTCAAATTTAAATGTTGTAACATCATATTTATATTAACTTTATAAACCACTTAATGCTACACCTCTAAATATGTTGTTATACTTATGAAATGAATACCATATTTTTTGGACTGTAAGACACACCTAGGTTTTAGAGAAGGAAAATAGGAAAAAAATTTTGAAGCAAAACAAGTGTGGTAAAATATTTAATAACATAAATAATATATTCACCAATGTAAATGTAAAGCTACATTTGGACTATAAGACGCACCCCCTTTCCTCCCAAATTGGGGGGGTTGCATCTTATAGTCCAAAAAATACAGTACATACTGTGTCATTTTCAAGTACTTTAAGTATTCTGAAATAACAGTGATTTGGAACTAAAAAATACATTTAATTACATAATGAAACAGACATAGAACACTCTTGTGTATATTAAAATTTAAGCCATGATGAGAATAACTGCCCCTATTTAAAACTTAACTTGTATAAATCAAGGGCAAGGCAACTCAAAATACAGCTGTAGGTATCCTGTCCTGAATTGCTTGTGAGGTGTATTATCTGTTTAGACTTGTGGCAGATGCTTTTTAATTTAAAGCTTTTTTTCCTTTATTAAGTTATCTGGAGTTCTGATAAATACAACCAAATTGAATGTGTTTATGAGTTACATCTCCATGGATATCCTGGCAAATGATGAGGCAAAATTTTTCAATTCATATTATTTCCAGGAACTACAACTGGTAACAGGCTTTCTCCAAAGCAACTACCTGTGAATTCTCTTATGTTTAACAATAATTGACAACTGGGCAAAAGCTTTCACACAATCATTGCCCCCATAGGGCCTCACTCCTTTATGTTTTCTTTGATGAACTTTGACTCCAGTCTTTGTAGTGAAGCCTTTCCCACATTTATTACACTCATCAGGTTTCTCACCCGTGTGAATTCTCTGCTGGGTAGTGAGATCATTTTTGCTCACTAAGAATTTTTCACATTCAGTACATGCAAAGGAAGTCTTTCCTGAGTGAAATATCTAATGTAGTATGAGGCATGTCTTCTTCATAAAGACTTACCAAATTCATAGCATTTGTAAGACATTTCTACAGTACAAGATTGCTCTAAGTACTCTTCATGGTGAACTCTTTTCACACTTACTGTATACCTACTTTCTCTTTGTATGAATTCACAGATGTGCAATGAGCATGCTTCTCCCAGTTAAGCCTTAGCCACATTCCTTGCATATACAAGTTTTCTCTCCTGTATGAGTGCAGTGATGAACATTTAAACGACTCTTCACACAGTGAAGAAACAAATAAATGGAAGCACATACTGTGTTTATGGGTAGGAAGAATTAACATCATTAAAATATCCATACTACCCAAAGCAACCTATGGATTCAATGCAATTCCTATCAAGATTTCAATGCCATATTTCACAGAACTAGAACAAATATTTCAAAAAGTATATGGAACCACAAAAGGCCCCACATAGCAACAGTGATCCTGAGAAAGAACAAAGTTGGAGGAATCACACTACCTAATATCAAACTATGCTATAAGGCCATGGTAATCAGAACAGTATGGTCCTGGCATAAAAACAGACACATAGATCAATGGAAAACAATAGGAAACCCCAAAATAAGCCCACACCTTTATAGTCAATTAATAATTGATAGAGGAAGCAGGCACATGAAATGGGCAAAAGATAGTTTATTCAATAAGTGGTGTTGGCAAAATTGGACAGATAAATGCAGAAAAATGAAACTACACCACCTTCTCACATGATACACAAGAATAAATTCAAAATGGATTAAAGACTTAATGTTAGACCTCCAAACCATAAGAGTAGAAAAAAACATATGCAGCAGAATCTTGGGATTTAGCAATATTTTATCAAATATATCTCCCCAGGGTAGGGAAACAAAAGAAAAAAAAATAAACAAATGGGACCATATCAAAATAAAAAGACAACACACATAATGGAAGAATACATTCGCTAATACATCATAAGGGGTTAATATCCAAAATTTACAAAGAACTTACAAAACTCAACACCAAAAATACAACCCAGTTAAAAAATAGGCAAAGAACCTGAGTAGTTCTTCAAAGAGGACATATAGATGGCCAATACACAGACATATGAAAAGATGCTCAATATCAGGAATCATCAGAGAAATGCAAATTAAAACTATAATGAGATATCATCTCAAACCTTTAAGAATGGCTATTATCAATAAATCAACAAACATTCCCTGGCTGGTGTGGCTCACTGGATTCAGTGCTGGCCTATACACTAAAAGGTTGCTGGTTTGATTCCCAGTCAGGACACATGCCTGGGTTGTCGGCCACATCCCCAGTTTGGGGCATGTGGGAGGCAACTGATCGATGTATCTCTCACACATTGATGTTTCCATCTTTCTCCCTCTCTTCCCTTCTCTCTAAAAGTAAATAAATATTTTAAAAAATAAATCAACAAACAAGTGCTGGTGGGGATGTGGACAAAAGGGAATCCTTTTGCACTATTGGTGGAAATGTAGATTGTTGCAGCCACTGTAGAAAGCAGTATAAAGATACCTCAAAAAATTAAAAATGCATCTGCCTTTTGACCCTGTGATCCCATTTCTGGGAATATACCCAAAGGAACCCAAAACATTAATTCAAAACAACATAAGCACCCCTATGTTCATTGCATGTTGTTTACAATCACCAGGATATGGAAGCAGCCCAAGTGTCCATCATTAGATGAGTAGATAAAACAACTATGGGAAATTTACACAAGAGAATACCACTTGACTGTAAAAAAGTTTTACCCCTTTGGAACAGTATGAATGGACCTGGAGATCATTGTGCTAAGTGAAATAAGCTAGTCAGAGAAAGACAAATACCATATGATTTCACTCATATGTAGAATCTAATGAACTGAAAAAAAAAACAAGCAAAATAGAGGCAGACTCATAGAAAGCAGGATCACAGCTAAAGGGGGAGTGTAGTGGGTGGTGGAATTGAGGAAAAAGGATTCACTGACATGAACAACAGTGTGGTGACTGGTGGGGGAAGGGAGGTATAAGGGGACTAAATGGTAATAGAAAAAAATACAATTAAAACTCATTAAAAAAATAAATGACTCTTCATGGTGAGGCCTTTCCCACATTCATTGCATATATGTTTTTTTCTCAATTATGAGTTCACTAATATAAAGTGAGATCAGTTCATGGTCAAGCCTTTTCTACACACACTATATACATAAGGCTTCTCTCCCATGTTTTAGCTGATGTCTGATGAGATTACACTTAGCTGTCAATCTTTCCCCACATTCATTATATATACAAGGTTTCTGTATGAGTCTGTTCATGTACAATCAGCTGCATTTTCACCCAGAAGACTTGTGCACATTCAGTGCATAGATTGGGTTTCTCTCCTTGTAAATTTGCTGATGTACAATTAGATGACTTTTCCGTGAAGCCTTTTCCAAATTCATCTCACATACATGGTTTTTCTGACATGTGACTTCGGTGATGTACAGTGAGGTCATGCTTCATGGTTAAGCCTTTTCCACAAATACTACACACATAGGGCTTCTCTTCTGTGTGAATTTGCTGATGTCTGATGAGGCAGAACTTCACTGAGAAGCCTTTCCCATATTCATTGCATTAAAAAAGGTTTCTCTCCTGTATGAGTTTCCCCATGTATTTTGAGGGTAGACTTTTTACCAAAGCCTTTCCTGTGTAGACTGCATCCATGGGGCTTCTCTCCTGTATGAGTTTTCTGATGTACAGTGATAACTGTCTTTCTATGGAATGTCTTACCACATTCACTGAATACAAAGGGTTTCTCTCCAGTATGAGTACGATGATGTACAATAAGATAGCTCTTCTCGATGAAGCCTTTTCCACATTCACTGCATCTATAAGGTTTCTCTCCTGTATGAGTCCGTTGATGTACAATCAACCTGTTTTTCTGTGAGAAACCCTTTCCACATTCATTGCATCTATAAGGTTTCTCTCCTGTATGAGTCCATTGATGCACAATCAACCCGTTCTTCTGTGAGAAACCCTTTCCACATTCATTGCATTTGTAAGGTTTCTCTCCTGTATGAGTTTTCTCATGTGTTTTGAGATTAGGCTTACTACAGAAAGTCTTCCCACATAGACTACATCCATAGGGTTTCTCTCCTGTGTGAGTTTTCTCATGTTTTTTGAGGTAAGTCTTCATATAGAAGGTCTTTCCACATAGACTACATCCATAGGGTTTCTCTCCTGTATGAGTTCGCTGATGACTGATGAGCAGAAAGTTTTTGATGTATGCTTTTCCACATTCAGTACATGTATAACGTTTCTCTTTCTTGTGAGTTTTCCGGTGTATATTGAACTGTGATATTTTGGGGAAGGTTTTGTTACATTCAGTGCATTCATACTGTTTTAGACCTGTATGAATTCTCTGATGTATAGTGAGATTTACACTTCTAGAGAAGATCTTACCACATTCACTGCATATAAAGGGTTTCTCTCCAGTATGCATACGATGATGTACAATAAGGTAACTCTTGTCAATGAAGCCTTTTCCACATTCACTACATCTATACGGTTTCTCTCCTGTGTGGGTCCGTTGATGTACAATCAACCTGTTCTTCTTTGGGAAACCCTTTCCACATTCACTGCATTTATAAGATTTCTCTTCTGTATGAGTTTTCTCATGTTTTTTGAGATAAGCCTTTCTATAGAAGGTCTTCCCACATAGACTACATCCATAGGGTTTCTCTCCTGTATGAGTTCGCTGATGACTGATGAGCAGAGAGTTTTTGATGTATGCTTTCCCACATTCAGTACACACATAACGTTTCTCTTTCTGGTGAGTTTTCCGGTGTATAGTGAACTGTGATATTTTGGGGAAGGTTCTGTCATGTTCAGTGCATTCATACTGATTTAGTCTTGTATGAATTCTCTGATGTGCAGTGAGACTTGTCTTTCTATGAAAGGTCTTACCACATTCACTGCATACAAAGGGTTTCTCTCCAGTATGAGTACGATGATGTACCATAAGATAGCTTTTATCGATGAAGCCTTTTCCACATTCACTGCATCTATAAGGTTTCTCTCCTGTATGAATCCGTTGATGTACAGTCAACCTGTTCTTCTGTGAGAAACCCTTTCCACATTCATTGCATTTATAAGGTTTCTCTCCCGTATGAGTTTTCTCATGTTTTCTGAGATAAGTCTTTCTATAGAAGGTCTTCCCACATAGACTACATCCATAGGGTTTCTCTCCTGTATGAGTTCGCTGATGACTGATGAGTAGAGAGTTTTTGATGTATGCTTTCCCACATTCAGTACACACATACAGTTTCTCTTTCTTGTGAGTTTTCTGGTGTATATTGAACTGTGATATTTTGGGGAAGGTTTTGTCACATTTAGTGCATTTATAATGATTTAGTCTTGTATGAATTCTCTGATGAACAGTGAGAACTCTCTTCCTATGGAAGGTCTTACCACATTCACTGCATACAAAGGGTTTCTCTCCAGTATGAGTACGATGATGTACAATAAGATAGCTCTTCTCGACGAAGCCTTTTCCACATTCACTGCACGTATAAGGTTTCTCTCCTGTGTGAGTTTTCTCATGTGTTTTGAGATTAGTCTTACTACAGAAAGTCTTCCCACATAGACTACATCTGTAGGGTTTCTCTCCTGTATGAGTATTCTCATGTTTTTTGAGATAAGTCTTTCTATGGAAGGTCTTCCCACATAGACTACATCCATAGGGTTTCTCTCCTGTGTGAGTTTTCTCATGTTTTTTGAGGTAAGTCTTCATACAGAAGGTTTTCCCACATAAACTACATCCATAGGGTTTCTCTCCTGTATGAGTTTTCTCATGTTTTTTGAGGTAAGTTTTCACATAGAAGGTCTTCCCACATAGACTACATCCATAGGGTTTCTCTCCTGTATGAGTTCGCTGATGACTGATGAGTAGAGAGTTTTTGATGTATGCTTTCCCACATTCAGTACACGCATGACGTTTCTCTTTCTTGTGAGTTTTCTGGTGTATATTGAACTGTGATATTTTGGGGAAGGTTTTGTCACATTTAGTGCATTTATACTGATTTAATCTTGTATGAATTCTCTGATGTTCAGTGAGAATTGTCTTTCTATGGAAGGTCTTACCACATTCACTGCATACAAAGGGTTTCTCTCCAGTATGAGTACGATGATGTATAATAAGATGGCTTTTCTTGATGAAGCCTTTTCCACATTCACTGCACGTATAAGGTTTCTCTCCTGTGTGAGTTTTCTCATGTGTTTTGAGATTAGTCTTACTACAGAAAGTCTTCCCACATAGACTACATCTGTAGGGTTTCTCTCCTGTATGAGTTTTCTCATGTTTTTTGAGGTAAGTCTTCATATAGAAGGTCTTCCCACATAGACTACATCCATAGGGTTTCTCTCCTGTATGAGTTCGCTGATGACTGATGAGTAGAGAGTTTTTGATGTATGCTTTCCCACATTCAGTACACGCATAACGTTTCTCTTTCTGGTGAGTTTTCCGGTGTATAGTGAACTGTGATATTTTGAGAAAGGTTTTGTTACATTCAGAGCATTTATACTGTTTTAGACTTGTATGAATTCTCTGATGTTCAGTGAGACGCAATTTTCTGGAGAAGGCTTTCCCACACATACTGTATCCGTGAGCTTTGTTTCTAGTATGAAAACTCTGATGATCAGTGAGCTCAGACATCTTTATGAAGCCTTTCCCACACTGAATGCATAAGTGGGCTTTCTCTACATTGTGAGTTCTCTGTTGCTGAGACTTATTATTGATGGGTTCAGTACTGACAGGCAATGTGATTTCAGTATAAAATTGTTCATGGTTAGCATGCAGAATGGATGTCCCACCTCCATTCAACTCAGTAGAATCCTTTAATTTACAGCTGCTGTTTAGGTTTTTAATACTTAAATTTGATTTTAAAGGTTTTTCATTTATCTTAATCATATCATAGTTTTGCTTTAATATGAAATGACCTTGGCCCTGATTAACAATATTTGCAAACATATTATGTTCAAGGCATTGTTCCACACTCTTCTGAATGCTTTGACTTTGCAAGTGACACTGAAGAGGATCATCAACTCTCCTGAGTTCTAGGAAAGAAGAGAACAGTGAATCATTGCATAATATGTCATAATATTAATTTGAAATAAAACTTTTTAAAAAATGCCTTCATGTGAATTACCTAGTGACAATCCTATGTGTTATAGGGTAAGTGATGAGTCTCTTTTTTTCTACATAAAAATAAAAACCATTAAAATTACAGCTGAATTTATGATAATGTGGTAACTTAACACAGTGTTCCTACATAGCCTCAGGAGGAAGCTAGTTGCCAGAAAGAACAATTGATTAGAAGGTTGGACTTTCAGCCTCACCTACTGATATATGGGAAGAGAGGGTGGGCCTAGAGATTAAACATCTATAAAAATTATTAACATAGGTAACTATCTCTCTGAGTACTGTGATACACTTGAGCAAATTAATTGAACCCAAAGAAGGGTTCATGAAACCCTCCAACTTATAGCCAGTTGGTCAGAAGCACAAGTGACAATGTGGACTTGCAATGGACATTGGAAGTAGATGCAATCTTATGGGACTGACCTTTTAACTTGAAGGGTTTAACACTATTTCTTGGATAGACAGTGTCAGAATTGAGCTAAATTTGTGGGTCATCTAGGTTTAATAGTCTTGGTATACACACATGACGCAAAGTAGTAAAGGCAATTATAGTCCATGAAACATGGTTAAAAGGAAAATGGAATGTAAGAGGTTGACAAAATCAGGATGAACAGGGTGGGGCAAAAGTAGGTTTACAGTGCTGATATGGAAAATGATACAATAATTAATAAATAAGAATATAAGAATAAACTCTGTGTTTTGCATATCCACAACTATAAACCTAATTTTGCCTCAAAGTGTATTTAAAAGAGAAAACAAAGTTCATTGATTGGATCAATGAAATACATGAGAAGAAGTTCATGAAAGTGAGGACTTAAAAATTACTCCAGGGAATTATGTGGCTTGAGCCACTGGGTAGGAGAAATACCTGTTAATAAAATGAGGACTGTTACTGAAGTTTGGATGAGGGGAAAATATAGCATGCTTTGTGAAACAAAGTTTAAAATGATTACTACATATATAGGACTATGGTACTTCTACTGAAAACAAAAGTACTGTTAGGAGTAGAGACAAGATCTATTTTTTTCTGTTTTTGGTACAGCTGTCATCTTTAAAAATATTAGGCTATCAGAATGCAAGTTTTCAAGAAATTATGCAATCCCATAATCATAGGAGGCAATCATAGGTATGGAACACATTAAGGGGTATTAAACAGGATGACAGAAACTTTCTAGTCAAAATGATGGCATATCACAAAGATCACTAAAAAAGAACTGCAATTTCATAGGACAGGGAAACTTGGTTACCTGGGACAAAGTGTCATCAGAATATGAGAAAATAATTTTATTTTTATGACATAGCAGCAAATAATTGGAAAATGCATTTAAAAAATCAATTCCATTTAATACATAATAAAAATAAATATCTTCCCCTGGCTAGTGTGGCTCAGTGAATTGAGTACTGGCCTGTGAACCAAAGGGTCACCAGTTCGATTCCTAGTCAGGCACATGACTTGACTAGGTTGTAGGCCAGGTCCCCAGTAGGGGGCGCACATGTGCAAAACTGCACATTGATGTGTCCCTCTCTCACCTCTTCCTCTCTGCCTTAAAATAAATAAAATCTTTTAAAATAATAAAAAAAATGCCTTCACAAACGGTATACACACATCTGTGGACAAAAAAGTGGGGTTGGGGGAGTGGGTTTTTTGGAAAGTAACCTAACAAGGTGATCTGATCATAAATTCCTAACTGGGCACATTTAAAAAAAGGAAAAAATACACACACACACACACAAAATCTCATAGTTAAGAATAAATTGGCCAAGATGGAGGCAGAGGTAGACACACTGTGCCTCCTTCCACAATGAAAATAAGGACAACAAAAAATTCTGAAACAAAAAAACAATCAGAACTGACAGAAAATTGAATGGTACAGAAGTCCGACAACCAAGGAGTTAAAATACATTCATCCAGCCCCGTAGGAAGGGCGGAGTCAGGCACCTGGTGGAGAGGAGTGGTGGCAAATAAAAAAACGGTGGCTTGTGGACCCCGGCGTGCAAGACAGCAGCGGGCGGACCCTGGGCATGCAGGCAGTGGCTGGCAGACCCCGGGTGCAGGGTGGCAGCAGGCAGACCCAGTGAGGTGCACAAGGAGGCTGGCTGACCGGGCAGTCACACATTTGCTCACAGATAAACCAGGTGAAACTGGGAGCAAGACAGACCACACAACCCAGGGCCCCAGCACAGGGAAATAAAGCCTGAAAACACCAATTGAAAACACCTGTGGGGGTTGAAGCACGAGGAGAGACTCCCAGCCTAACAGGAGAATGCGTTGGAGAGACCCATGGGGTCCTAGAACGTACACAAGCCCACTCACACGAGAATAAGCACCAGAAGGGCCTAGTTTGCTTGGGGGAAGCGGCAGAAGGGACTGAAATCCAGCAGAGAGTGGAGAAAGTGCCATTGTTCCCTCTCGAACCCTTCCCCTTCATACAGCGTCACAACCCCCACTGAGTTGCCTCGCCCTGGTAAACTTAAGGCTCCACCCCTCACTATGTAACAGGTGTGACAAAACAAAAAAAATATGGCCCAAATGGAAGAACAGATCAAAGCTCCACAAAAAATACAACTAAGCAACCAAGAGATAGCCAACCTATCAGATGCACAGTTCAAAGCACTGGTGATTGGGATGCTCACAGAATTGGTTGATTTTGGTCACAAATTATATGAAAAAAATGAAGGCTACAATAAGAGAAATGAAAGAAAATGCACAGGGAACCAATAGTGATGGGAAGGAAACTGGGACTCAAAACAGTAGAGAAGACCAGAAGGAAGAAAGAAACAACCACACAGAAGAGAAGGGAGAAGTAAGAATTCAAAAAAATGAGGAGAAGCTTAGGAACCTCCAAGATATCTTTAAACATTCCAACATACGAATTATAGGGGTACCAGAAGGGGAAGAGGAAGAGCAACATGTGGAAAACTTATTTGAACAAATAATAAAAGAGAACTTCCCCATTCTGGCAAAGGAAATAGACTTCCAGGAAGTCCAGGAAGCTCAGAGAGTCCCAAAGAAGTTGGACCCAAGAAGGAACACACCAAGGCACATCATAATTACATTAGTCCAAGGTACAAATGAAGGAAAGAATCCTAGAAGCAGCAAGAGATAAGGAGACAGTCACCTACAAAAAAGTTCCCATCAGACTGTCAGCTGATTTCTCCAAAGAGACCTTACAGGCAAGAAGGAAGGGGCTGGAAAGAAGTATTCCAAGTCATGAAAGGCAAGGACCTACATCCAAGATTGTTCTACTCAGCAAAGCTTTCATTTAGAATGGAAGGGCAGATAAAGGGCTTCTCAGATAAGGTCAAGTTAAAGGAGTTCATCATCACCAAGCCTTTATTATATGAAATGTTAAAGGGACTTATCTAAGAAAAAGAAGATAAAAAACATGTATAGTAAAATGATAGCAAACACAGTTATTAACAACCACACCTAAAACAAAAAAAAACAGAAACTAACCAAACAACTAGAACAGGAACAGACCCACAGAAATGGAGATCACATGGAGGGTTATCAGCAGGGGAATGGAGGGGGAGGGGGGAAAAGGTACAGAGAAAAAGTAGCATAGATGGTAGGTAGAAAATAGACAAGGGGAGGGCAAGAATAGAATGGGAAATGTAGAAGCTAAAGAACTTATGATACATGGACATGAACTAAAGGGGGGAATGTGGGTGGAGATGGTGTGCAGGGTGGAGGGGAAAGAAGGGGGAAAATGGGACAACTGTAACAGCATAATCAATAAAATATATTTAAAAAAAGAATAAATTGAAGGGAAGTGTAAAACTTTTACTCTGAAACTTACGAAACATTGTTGAAAGAAATTAAAGACCAAATTAGATGGTAAAACACCCAATGATTCTGAATTAGGATATATAATATGGTTAAGATGGAATTACTACCAAATTGATAGACAGATTCAATGTAATCTCTATCAAAATTGTTTTAAGAGGAAAGAACAGAGCTGGAAGATTCACTTCTTTCAATTTCCAAGCTTACTGAATAGCTATAGAAATCAAGGCCATGATGAAAATATGTACATATAAAATGTTACCAAATTGATTATGGTAATGGTTGCACAAGGATGAATATATGGAAAATGAATTAACTATATAATTTAAATGAGTAAATGGTATGGTATATGAATTAAATCTAAGTAAAACCATTAAAAATATGATTATGATATGGGGAAAAAGCTTCAAAACAAAAAATGCATCAGTAACATCTAAGAATGAAGCAAAATCTGAATTACAAAAACTAGGAAGGGAGTTATCTGAAGCAGACATAAGTTATAATATAATTCATGCTAGAACTCATTTACCATGTTAAGATCATTTCTTGGGGATAGGGAAGCAAAGAATGATGTGGCGTGAAACGAGATTATCATGGGGACAGAACATCCAAGTTGGGGTTCGATTTTAAAGAAGGAAAGCACTATGTCAAAACATGGCAGTATGGCCCCATAGTGAGAGAAAGTGACAAATTCAAAGTTTTATCTTTCCAGAGAGGCCTAGAAAGTGGGGTTTCACAGCAAGAGAAGTGGTAACACAGGCACAGACACTGTGACTGTGAACAAAGAAGAAGAAGATCTGAGAATCCTAGGATGAAAAAAACTATACAAACATAAATAAGATATAAATAAGATGTAAATAAGGCAAACACGGGTCAGAGCCCAGGAGAGAAAAACAAAGTATGGTTTCTTTTAAACTTCTATAAACAAAAAGGGTACTCACACATGGAGGGTGGTTTGAGTTTCCTCATTCACTGTCACAGCTCTGACACTGTCTCTAACTAGAATGTGACTTCCTGGCCTCCCACCTTGCTTGTTCTCACCCCCTTACCTAGGCAGACCACATGGTGCATTTCATCCTGTACTGCCCTCGGTTCTTCCCCTCGTTCCAACCCGGAGAGTGTGTCTGGTTTGCTGGCTTGATACCCTGCTTGTGAAAAATAACAGAAGACTTAGACATACTGAACTGGGCTGATGTCTGTCAAGAAGGAAGAATGTTACATTTCAGAAAATGAACCGCTTTGCATCTGTTAACATTAACAGCTTTCTCTCCAAACAGGGGACATTATACCCTCTTGTGAGGGGCAAAAGAAAGGTCTCAGATTCTACCATTTCAGAGAACTGTAGTTATTCTGAAGAGTTAAGCACCTGAGGGGGAAAAAGCCACTAAGAGGGCACCATCTGAGTAACACTGGGGAGCTGTCCTTACCCACTGACACCAGGTTGCTGTAGTTCTCCAACATCACGTCCCTGTACAGGTCCTTCTGATTGGGGTCCAGGAGCTGCCACTCCTCTAAGGTGAAGTCTACGGCCACATCATGAAATGTCAGGCATTCCTGTAACAGCACCGTGCTGTTCAATGGTGTGATGTGCTTTAGATGAAATGGAAGAGATGTTAGTTTTTCTGTTCATTTTCACTTTATAGGTGGCAGCTATATAGCAAGTGGGGTTTATTTTAATATATAGTTTAATAATCACCAGTCTAGTAAAATACTATTTTGTAATTATTCATTTGTTCATCCATGCATTCAACCAATTAGAAGTTTTTATAATATGAAGGAGTTAAATATTCTTGTTTACCTAGAAACACCACATTCACACATTTGACAGACAAAAGGTATATACATGTGTGTATATTCCTCAGATTAACAAGTGTGTTTTTTTTCTAGGCCTCTACAAATCTATTCATAAAAAAGGAAAAAAAATAAAACCAAAGTCACCTGAGCCTGGAGCATTTTCTTCTGTTCTCTGAAAAGAGCTGGCAACAGGGAGGCTCTGTCTTGGTGTGTTCTAGGTCTGTTCTAAACTTCTGTTCAGTCTCCGTCTCCAGTCAGATGTGTCCCCAGAAATGCTTACACCCACCCGTGTAACTTCTTCCAGCTTCACACGATTCAATAGCTCTTACAGTCCTCATCAGAAATGTCCAATACTGTAGGAAATTTTTATGAGTTTATTTGAGCCAAATTGACAATAATTGCCAGGAAACAATATAACAATGGATTAAGAAAATGCTTCATAGCATTTATGTGCCTTATTTTATACATTAAAGTCAAAGGAAAGACATAAGAAGGTTACCTGAAATTCACTGGTGATAGATTAGGGAGGTGAGAGAAACCAAGAGAAAAATCTCTGGGATTGGAGAAAAAGTAAAAAGAATAGACACATACTTCTTTTGCATAGGTGGAAATAGGACAGTTATCAATTAATGCAATAACTATAACAATGAGGGGTTCTGTAGTGCCTTAGGCTGGTGGGAGATTGTGCCCTGAGGGGGCCTGAAAAAAAGAAGTTAATGTGACATTCCAAAAGTCTGTTATTGTGGATGCAAAAAGAAAATAGACAGGCCCAGTTAAGGTCAATGTTTGTCAAGGAAGATACTGGTCTAAAACATGACTACCCACCATTACTCACCTTCAGTTAAAAGTTTTAATATCAGACCTGGCTGGTGTGGCTCAGTGAATTTGGTGCTCTCCTGTGAACTGAAAGGTAGCTAGTTTGATTCCCAGTCAGGGTACACGCCTGGGTTGCAGGCCAGGTCCCCAATTGGGGACTTGTTAGAGGCAACCATTTGATGTTTCTCTCCCTCTCTGTCTCCCTCCCTTACCCTCTCTATAAAAATAAATAAAAATAAAAAACTAAATGCAGTGCAGGTATCCCTTTATTCTGTGGCATTTAAGTGGAGTAACTGTGAAAAAAGATGAAGGGAATGATGTTGGAGGCAGAAAAAAAATTTCTTCCCTTCTATATTCTTTGACTGGTCTAATAATTAAAATGATAGAACACAGATTAACAGAGGAAAATTAACTTAAAAGGTTAATAACATGTATAACTCTTAGACTGATGGAAACAACCCAGAAAACAAAGTAACTTGCAAAAGTGACAGCCACCAACACCTGAAATACCACTTTTACCTAAAGTCAAAAGATGTTGGAGGTGGAGAGTCAGTTACAGAAGGTTACCAATAAAGGCACAGTAAACAAACCACAAGACTGTTATGCAGATATAAGTCCTGCTTCTTCCACTGATAGTTATGGGGAGTCTGGTATAGTGAGGGAGACATCCTTACAGATTAGATTGCTCTTACAAATGTAAATATCCTTCACAACGATAACTTCTGCTAGGTTTTCCAAGCTTCTACCAGGGCTGCAGATTCTTCAAATTAACCAGCCTAAAATCGCCAATACCCTAAAGATGCATATTTTAAGGTGGCAAACCACTCCTTTTCAGACTCAAAAAATTATATATTCAAAAGACAAAATTTTCTCCCCCAAACAACTAACACATTTTCTCATATACAAGGTTTCCCAACACATGCTCTCACCTCTTCATATTGATGCAAAAAGAAAATGTATATACGCCCCCCAATGGAATTTATTTATAAAAAACTGTGTATTTATTCTTCCATGTTTAAACTTCAGTCACCTTCAAAGCATCCTCCATTTCATACAATATACTGATTGAGACATTTTTCTCGACTGCTCAAAACAGTTTCTGAACTCGTTGATTTTGATATCTTTTAAGTACTTCTGCTGTTTTTTGTTTCACCTCTTCCACATTGGCAAAGTATTTCCCTTTAAGGACCTTTTTTTTCATCCAGGGGAAGAAAAATTAGTCACTGGGGGCAAGATTGGGTGAACAGGGTGGTTGGGGCACAGACATCATCCTGTTTTTGGTCAAAAACTGCTGAACACTCAGCACAGTGTGAGCAGGTGCATTAATAAAATGTCACTCATAAAATGTCACTCATAAAATGGGAAAACATGTTGAAAGAATCTTCAAAAAACATTTCAGTGAAGCCGAATGCAGCCTCTCACAACAATGCCAGCTGGTACACTGATACAGATGAGTTCCTAGAACACTTACCTAGTGGGAGAATCTTATACTATAAGGGGCCCACCCTCCAGAAATTAATTCCAGGGTGTTTTGGGGGGCTCCTCCTCATATCATTGGCTAGAACTACACAATGTATCTAAAATTATTTTATAGTAATTCAATCAGTAGTGATGGAAACTGGAATCACTACAGTTGACTAAGACCAAAACTTATTAACACACTTGTATATGGGTCACCTTGCCAGAGGGATGGCTATTAAATAAAATGAAAATTCTGTTAGCATAAAAAATGTATGAATGTATGTCAGGCAAATAAGCAACAATGTCCACTGCTCTACATGAAGAGGTGAGAGCAGGTGTTGGCAAACATTGTGTGAAAGACACAGATAAACATTTTCCACTTTACAAACCAAAACTTCTGTGCCACAACAGCCCAATTCTGCCTTGCCACAGGAGATGTGCCACAGAGAATACATTATGAATGAGCGGTTAGTCCCTGGATATGTAGTTAGTCGACTGCTGGACTAAAAATTGAAAACCAGAAGGCTTGGACCTAGTACTCTGGGCCCTAACACCTTCTGTCCCCAGCAGCAGTGGAAGTTATAACCTTAACCAAATACCAGTGGCCCTGAGCATTCAAAACTTAACGTTCACAAGCATCTCCTGATCACAGACACTGATCACACTTCCTGATTAATTGGAATCCAGGCCCTGATGGTTATGGCTTAGTTGGTTGGGCACTGTGGTTCAGTACATCCCTGGGTTGTGGGTTAGGTCCCCAGATGGGAGAGGCTATCTCTCACAACAATGTTTCTCTCCTTCTCTCTCCACCCCTTTTACTGTCTCTAGAAAAAATAAATAAAATCTTTAAAAAAGAAAGGAAACGGGGCCAGCCACTATGTGATGAGCAGTCACACCACCCTCAACATCACTGAGCAGTGTATTAAACCTGACTCCAACTTAAACCTGACACTGCATTCATCCTAAATGCCACCTGTACCCTGTACAGGCGGGGTGACCTCAGAAACCCATACCCTGAAGGGCCAAGGGTGTTATTGTAATAGGGGGGATACACACCCCCGGAAATGGGGGCAGGGTTTGGGGTGGGGATGCCTGACTGGCGACTTTGCCCCTTTGCTAAACCTGACAGCCAGAAGAGGGGCAAAGGCAAATATGGCAGATACTGGCCCTCATTGGTTGGAGAGCCAGACACTTCCACTGGCTTTCAGCATGCATGGGATTCTGAGAGAGGAGTTTTGAAATGGGGTATGCATGTAAGCAAAGTCAGTTCTTTCCCCTCCCCCCGTAAGTGGTATGCCAATGGTGGCCAGTGTGGGGGCCTGTGAGCAGAGGCCTGGGGGCACACTCCAAAATACGCCTGAAGATAGACAGTGACTGGAGACCAGCTAAGCCATTTACGTTTATGATTCTTTGGGTGGGAAAAGAGGTTTCCAGTGCAACCTTCAACAGAGCTGGCAGAGGGTGACAGGGTGACTTTTCTCTGGGTGTCTTAGAAGGAACAGGGGTCTGAGGCAGAAACTTGCCATTATTTCCAAAGATATTTGGTGATAACAGCACTGTGAACAGATTTATGTTCTTCTGCTATTTTCAGTTTTTGAATGTATCTGGTAGTTGTAATGACAAATATTTAAACAGCTATTTTTGATGTCATACTCTGACTTTTCCTTTCCCCTTACTTTTGTTACCCAGATATTTTAGGCAGAAACTTGCCATTAAATAAAACATTCCTTTATTTTTCACTGAAGTCCATCTTTGGAAATTTGCCTGGTGGCAGCGGTAGGACGTCCCCCGTCCCCCCCAACCCAGTTGGGTGGGGTAACATTATCTCTACACAATGACCCCCAATCACAGACAGACACCTCTGGTTCCCCTCAAATCCGATTTTCACATCGTTCTCCTTAACTAGCTCCACCTGTGTGCTTCTACCCTCCCCCTCCGACCCGGTGATGATTCCAATGTCCACACACGACACGTCATACATATGTCACCTTGTGAGAAACAAAACTTCCACTGTGACGAAAAAAAACTTCCAGAGACAAAACCACATACTGACCTGACCTGTTCCCCAGACCCACACGGAAAGCGCAAATGTATTTCCTCATCTCGCTTTAACTTCGGCACCGGTCCCACCCTGTCTACGGTGGGTGAAGAGGGTCTCAGGCGTTTGAAGAAACGCAGGGAACGATTTCCTGTATTAGATTGCAATATGTCCGCGCCCATCCTTCGGAGGCGCCCTGGGGGCCGCCATGTTGGGACACCTGAGTGCTGAGCAGAAGGCCGAGCCGCAGCTTTAGGGACATTAGTCAGAGAGGATGAGTGAAACGTTGCTGACATTCTTTCTCTGGCACTTCCACTCTTTTGAAAATTGGGTAAAAATTTAGAGCTTCACGATGCAAACACGGTGTGGGCAAAGTTGCCTTCAGCGGGCTCTGCAGAAAAGGACTTAAGTCCTCAGAGTATTATCTCCACTTTATATATTTATAAACGTTTCCAAACGGACAACTAGGTGTTAAGGTACAGCAATGGGGAGGCACTCTTAAAAGGGACAAGATAACACAGCTGGTAAATAGCCACCCACGGACGGACGGATAGCTTTGACTGGAAAGAGTTGGCGGAAGCGTCCTATAGAAACAAAAAGAAACTGGTACAGTGTGAGACTGACTGGGACCCCCAAGCCTCAAGGTGTCATTTAGGGTGTAGACTCAGGAAAGGCACTAAAAGGCCAGTATAAGTCTGGAAATCAATGGCAAGGGTATAAACGGAATTCATTCCATTAAAAGGTATATTGTAAGCGTGGCGAGGTAGATGTAACTCAGGATTTAAGGCCAAAAATATCAAAATAAAGTGTGCATCAGGCCGTATTTAAAAAGGCATAGTCCTGGACCCCAGCCCAGGGCTGGAGTTTCTGGTTTAGAGGGTGTGGAATATGACTGGGGATCTGCATTCATTTACTTTTCTGAGACAGGAAGGCTGTTACAATCATTAGAAACAGTCTTGTGTTGGACTTAATTGGTGATCATCTTGTTATATACATGCCTAATCACTATATTGTACATCTGAAACTAATATAAGTCTGTGTCAACTGTAATGGAATTTTTTAAAATTAAAAAATCAAAAGAAACAGCCCTGGAATGTACTCTGGTTACAAATATGATTGGTGACTCTCCTCCATACCTCAGTCTTGGCTCAAATCATTTCCAGAAAACCCTGTTGGCAAGAGCAGGAATAATTCCCTCACTCCCATTACAGCCTATACATTACTATAAATTACTATCTATGCGTTACAAATTATTAACTATTATTTTCTTTACAGACTCATTACATCCTGAGGTTTCGTGATCCACTTTATAGTCTTCTTCTCTAGATTTTAGGTCCACAAAAGCAGTTTTTATGCCTGTTTTGTTCACTGTTGTAATCTCAGTGGGTAATACAATGCCTGGCACAGTGTTGGTGCCGGAAATGTATTTGAAGAATTGAATTACCTAGAACCCAGTGTTGGAGATTGAATTCTGAAATAGCCACCACATGACAAAGCAAATTTCCATTTTTATTCTGATGAGCAAGACTCACTGTTTATAAGTTGGATAGGTGGGAAACTATGGGACAGTTATGAGATTAAAAGAAAATACACTGAAGAGTGAGAGAGCAAGAGCCCCACTCCCAGGAGACAGAGAAGGAAAAATGAAGAGAAAGCACATGTCTCAATTCAGCAGGTAACAGTGAAGCTGGAATCTCTGAAATGGCGGCAGCTCTCAAGGGTGATGGTCCTGTGCACAGATGCAGAGGCTCTTCTCCACGACATCCCTTAGGGATCTCACCTTCCATCTCCCATATTCTTCATTCTTAGAGATTAAGATTCTTGTCATCTCTCTTATCCTACTGAAGATCCTTTCTTTTTTTCTCCTTTGCCCAGTTTATATTCAATTAAAGTCTCTAATCACACATAATTTGGGGAGGAAACAACTGTTCCTTACAACTCCCTTCAAATGGCTCATTCCTTTCAATGACAAAATGCTGATTAGTCATTGTAGCTCCTTCATTCACTTTCCAAATTAGAATATGTTTTTATTTTTCTGTACTGGGAAATATCAAATCATGCCTACAAGTGCTTTCCAGTATAACTTTCTGGGATGATGAAAATTATGGCAGATTTCTCCAAGTAGCCATATAGTTAACTACAAAAGTTTGATCATTGCACTGTCAGTGAGATAACCACCAGTCACATATGGCTACTGAGCACTTGAAGTATGGTAGCGCAACTGAGGAATCGAGCTTTTATTTGGTTTTTAAAAATGTAAAATATAAAGAGGAAAACATTGTCAAGGAATTTTTCATCTACTTGGAGAAGACATGAGCATTATAAAAAGGAGCTTGTTGAGGTGCTTAAAGTTTATTAAGAGTATTCCTCGCCCTCCAAATAATAAGCTCCTTAATTTAACTCCTTAAAATAATTACTCCCTATTTGCTATAGAGTGAATGTTTGTGTCTCGTTCAAATCCATTCATTGAAGCCTAACCCCAAATGTGATGGTCCTAAGCAGTGGGAATTTCAGAGGTGATTAGGTCATGAGGAAGGAATCCTCATGAACTGGATTGCTAACCTTATAAAAGGCATCCCAGAGAACTCCCCTGCCCCTTCTTCCACATGAGGACACAGAGAGGACACAGGTCTTCTGTGAACCAGGAAGCAGGCACTCAACACATACCCATCTGCCAGTGCCTAGATTTGGCTCTCTGGAGCTTCCAAAACTCTAAGAAATAAATTTCAGCTTTTATAACCACCCAAGCTCTGGTATTGTTTTGTAGCAACCAGGAAAGCCTAAGACTATGTCAATTTCATGGGTGTATATTGACATTTTCTTAATAGATTCACTGGTGTGTACAGGTGCCTCTTAGAGATAAGATAACCCCACTACTCTCTAATGTTGTCTCTAGGACACCATGGCCATCTTCTGTTTTGAACAACACTATTCTCAGCTCGTGGAAGAGAACCAGATGCAACAGAAGTATTGAATATTGGACAAAAACAATATAAATTAATGAATCAAGTCACTTTAAGGCTGCTGTTCCATAACTCCCTCTGCAATAATATAAACTAATAATATAAACTATAAAATAATATAAACTTCTAAAAGTTTATGAGAGATGCCCTGGCCAGTGTGGCTCAGTTGGTTAGTGTTGTCCTGTAACTGAAAGGTTGCCAGTTTGATTCCCAGTCAGGGCACATACTCAAGTTGCAGGTTCAATATCTGGTCCAGGAATTTATGGGCCAAAAATAGAAATGCCTTATGGGCACCCCAGTGCCTCCTTTTTCAAGAGATGGTCACAAGTGCAGAGCTACTACTTAAGATTTTAGAAGCTGGTACCTACCCAAGAACAACTAGGCACGGGTTGCATTGTATTCATCAGTATGGGCAAAAAAATAAATTGTGCCTTTGAGTTGTGAGACAGGGACACCTAGGGTATAACCAGTTTCCATGATGTCTGGTGCCCATATTGGCAGAGAAGACCCTAGAGAGCTTTAAGATGAATCTTAGGTTGAATGCACTTCAGATGTGTTTTGGGAAAACCTATAGTTCAGTCTTCCTCTTGTGTTTCTCCTTTGCTTTCACACTACTTCCACCACCACAAAAAGGCACTACAAACATATACTACACCACATACACCACAGAATGGGTCTTTTATCCTGTATAAGTCTGCTGATGTTGGATGAGCCAGTGCTTATGTTCTAAATCAGAAAAAATATAGCTTTCTATATTTAAAATAAAATTCTATTGCTAGATCATTAATGTAATCTTATGGCTTTAAAAGTTTTCATTTCTAAAAAAAAAGGCACAAGGAGGGAGGAAAAGGAAGAGAAAAATGAATTGAAAATTCCAATTTTACAGCCTTTTTCACTCTACAATGTTCCTGCCATCAGAAATCCCTATTTTATGTATTTTACTTCACATAATTTTCAAAATAACCCTGATGGAGAGATTTTAACTTCTTTTGTTTCTAACAAGGAAACAGACACAGGTCACATTTATTGCAATATGGGCAAAGCGAGAATCTGGATTGAAGAACCAGATTTATTTCATTCCAAAGTTCACTTTCATTGTACTTCGTAGGACAAAAATATTTGTAAATAAAGTCTCTGTTCATTAAGTAAACAAAGGGAAAAATGAAGAGGCTATTAGAATTCCAATTAATCATGTTATCACAGAAGTATTTAGAGTAATGGTAGAGGCTTGCAACATTGGAAATGCACCAAAACCACAGCCACCAAGGCTGACTTGTGGAAGAAGGATGAATAAAGGATTACATAATAGATAAAGCTGGCCTAGTACTATAGCTGGTAAACCTCAGGTAAAAATTATTTTTTAAATCTAGATTAGGGTGGGTGGGCTAGAATGGGAGTAAAAGGGAGAAAACTGTACTTGAACAATGATTAAAATAAAAAAATCTAAATTAAAATATTTGAAATACTTTCAATATTTCTGTGTGTCTGAAAATTTTCACACTGAATGTGGGCTGCAAAGAAAAACATTTTAATTTTAAGAATTTAGTAAGATGACTAAATATAAAATAATTATTTAAAATTTATTGTTGTAGCCCTGGCTGGTGTGGCTTAGTGGACTGAGCACTGGCTTGTGAACCAAAGGGTTGCCAGTTCAATTCCCAGTCAGGGCACATGCCCGAGTTGCAGGCCAAGTCCCCAACAAGGGGCACATGAGACACAACTGCATATTGATGTTTCTCTCCCTCCTTTTCCCTCCCTTCCCCTCTCTAAAATAAATAATTTAAAAAATATTTAAAAAATAAAAATAAAATAAAGTAAAATGTGTTGTTCTTTTATGTTATAAAGGGGAGTTAGAAAATAATATTGTGTTTAAAATGGCAATAAAAGTACCATGTTTTTCAGACTATAAGACACACCGTTCTCCCCATCCCCCAAATTGGGGAGGAATAATGGTGGTTAATGCTGCTGTTGAGTTCTGTTTACATTTACATTGGTGAAATATTATGTTATTTATGTTATTAAATATTTTACCACATTTTTGCTTCAAAGTTTTTTTTGTTTCAAATTTTTTTTTCCCATTTTCCTCCTGTAAAACCTAGGTGTGTCTTATGGTCCGAAAAATACAGTAAGTAGTCTAGAGTGTAGATGAAAAGCA